GAACTGTCTCTGCAACGGTCGCTCGAACCGCGAGCCAAGCTGGCTTGACCAGCAAGGATCTCGATCCCCACGGCCGCTCTGGAACAACTGTGACAAAAACGTGAAACGACGGTGTTTGCAATGCTTCCTCACATCCATGAAAAAACAAGAATGCAAAACATGCAATGTACACGTTGGCGTGCACGCCCAGCAATGACAGTATTGCGACACTTCCTTGCGTCTCTTGTCCGTGACATTGATTATTTTCAGTAGAGGGCTTGTCCGCAACCTTTCTGTTTCACTTTGTATATTTGCGTCCCATTATCAGTTGTTATCGTTGCTTACTCGTGAGTAAGCCTAGTATAGGCGCCTATACAACTTCTAATACTATTCTGGGGCTGCTTATTATAACTATAGTCGACGGCACCTCAAAACCCTCTTGCAATTCTTAAGAACCCGATAGCATCAGCACCGTTTTGTAAGCCCGACGATGGCAGGCGTCGTGCAGGCGGAGGCAGCGAAGGAAGCCGGAAACACGCTGCTCAAGGCAGCCTCGTTGTGCTTTTAGGGTTTTTTGGGGTTCTTGTAGGGTTCTTATAGGGTTTAGGGGTTTAGGGTTCTTATAGGGTTCTTATAGTGTTTAAGGGTTTAGGGTTCTTGTAGGGTTTAGGGTTTAAGGGCCTTACGGCCCTGAGCCCTACACCCGAAACCTAAACTGGGCACTGAAGGATGGTGGGTTCCTGGATTGAACCCGTTCAATGTATAACCACATGTGCCAGAGGGTTCTGGAAAGGTTTGCTGGCGACCCTGTGAGGGCCAGCCACGCGTGAAGTTTCTGCAGCTGCCGTCGCCGTGGCAGAAGAGTCGTAGAAGCAGCAGAAGCAGCAGAAGGAGCAGCCGTGGCAGTTGTAGAAGTAGCTGTAACAGTACATAAAGGATCATGGGACTTAGTAAGTAGGATTATAATTAGGGTAATTATACTCATAACCCCAATTAAGGGACTTATAACCATACTTACTAAGTCCCATGATCCTCCAAGTAGACAGTAGGGGTAGCAGCAGGAGCAGGGCAAGGAGCTGGAGCAGAAGTAGCAGTTGAAGTTTGGGCGTAGTTTGAGCTGCTGCTTCCCTCTCGCTGATACTACTACTGCTACGACTACGACTGCTACTACTACGACGACTACTACTACTACTACTACTACTACTACTACTTGTAGTACTACTACAACTACTGCAACTATTGCTACTACTCCTCCTACTCCGACTCCGGCTCCCACTCCCTACTCCTCCTGCTATTGCTGTTGCTGCTACTGCTGCGACTGCTTTTGCCACCACCAGCAGAGTTTGCAGCCGAGCTTTGCCGCAGGCAGGAGACTTCGCAGGAGCGGCAGCCAAGCACCTTGCATGCAATGTAATTAATTATAGGTGTCTTTTGCACAATCAAATGAGAAGACGCCTGATCTCCGAGTCATGCCTATCTTCCTGTAGGCTGTTCGACATCTGATTAGATTCATGATGTCTGAGGGTGCGCGCAAAGAGTAGCAGAAGTTGCTAAAAGCAGCCAGTACTGCTTCAAGCTGGGACCGGTCGTAGGTGGGGGTATCAGCAAGGATCAACAAGCAGTTACATGATTCAACTCAGGGAACCAACAAATGCTTTCTTCGTTCGTGGCCGCCAGAACCACGAGATACTCTTGGAAACCCGACCGTCTTTCCTTGAGCACTCTGATGATCATTAGTGCCAGCATTCGTGGCGTTATTATTGTTACTATCAGTTTTAGTCTCATGAACTAGTCATGTACCTAGTTGTAGTAGGAGCAGTGCTGGTACGAGTATAGTAGTAGTCTGAACCTCCAACCCCGAGCCCACATATCAAGAATGCCAGTGCCTGCCCTGAACCCGAAAGACCGCAGCAAACAAGTTCCACAGCAGAAAATTCCGCCTGAACTGGAGCCGATCCCCAAAACCTTTTCTACGCCTTTTAAAAGCCCCAAAGCCGTGAAGCCCCCAAAGGCCGCATGCCCGAAGCCTTCATGAGCTCGCTAAGGCATGAAACAGAACCCCCAAAGCACGAGAGCCCCGAGGCTTTACATCCTAGAAATCCCTAAACCGCCAAGCCCCTAAACCCCTAAACCTCTAAACCCTAAGCTCTAAACCCCTAAACCATGAACCACTAAACCAACAACATTCACAAACTCATGCACAAGCACGGCCGGCAACCCTCGAACAAATTCTCTATAAAGAATCAGGTACGTAGAAGGGATCGAGCTCACCGAGCTTCCTCACCCAGCTGCTTCGGGGTTTTCGAGGTTTTTTTTTGGCTTTGCATGTTTTTGTTGGGGGGAGGGTTTTCGTTGGATTTTAAAGGTTTTTGGGAGTTGAGGCTTCCAGTCTTTAGGATCTTGGGGATCTTGTCTGGCTTCAAGAGGAGCAGCATGTTTCTCGGAAATGCCCATTTCTGTGGGCTTGTGATTATTACATATACTGTATTGTGTTCCTTATTCTAACTATAGTATAATGGGCCCCAAAACCCTATTGTAATTATTACGGCCCCTACGTTAGTAGGATCCTCATTACAAGGACCCCCCCAACTTGAGGACTTTGTATCGCTTCGGCTTGATCCCGGGTTTCAATATGTTCACGACTTTCGGGGAGGTTTTAGGTGCTATTTGCCGGGCTTCAGGTGTTTTGGTTGCGGCAGGACGGGGTAGTGCGGGCAAGACGGATCATCTTTACCTGGCAGTGTCCTTCTTGGTTCTGCGGACACAAACCCTAAGCCCTAAGCCCTAGACCCGAAAACTATCCAACGAGTCGTCGTCCGGGTGCGTCGTCTTGGCGCCGAGACCCTTTGCCTTTTCTGTGACAGCGGAAGCCCCAAAGAAGGACGCAACTCACGGACCTCGATAGGTGAAATGAAGGTACTTGGCATCCCCCAGCTCCCATCCTAAACCCTATAAACCCTAAACTCCTAAACCCCATTATCCCTAAACCCTAAACCCCTAAACCCCATTATCCCTGATCCCTAAACCCCACCATCCCTGAACCGGAAACTTTGGGGATGACGGTCCACAGTTGAGAAAATCAAGGTTTAGGGATTCGAGATTAGTATTTACAGGTTTAGGGTTTAGGGTTTAGGGGCTTAGGGGTTTAGGGGTTTAGGGGTTTAGGGTTTTACAGCCCACCCTAAACCCCTCAACCCTCGAGCCTGCCCACACTATAATATAATATACTATCATATAACATAAGATAATGTAATATGATGTAATATGTTATAACATGATATAATATGATATAGCATAATGTAGTATAATGTAATGTAATATAACAGTGTAACATACTAGTATTTTATATAAAACATGATATATCTTAATACAGTACACTAAGAAATATATGCATAAAAGATGTATATGTATACACACATATTACACCCTAATCCTAGGCCTTTTCAGCCCTTTCCATGTTTCCAAAACCAAAACCCTAAACCCTAAACCCTAGACCACCCTAATCCCTCTAGGCCTTTTCAGCCCTTTCCATGTTTCCAAACCCAGGCCTTTGCTCGAGAAGGATCCCTCGGAGCTGGGCGAAGAATTGCAGAAGCGAGGCTTCAAGCGGTCTTGATCGGGTTTAGGGGTTTAGGGGTTTCGGGGTTTAGGGTTTAGGGCTTGGGGGTCTAGGGCTTTAGGGGTTTAGGGGTTAAGGGTTTAGGGCTTAGGGCTTTAGTGTTGAAGAAGGGGTCGAGGGTTGAAGAAGGGCTCTAGGGTTTAAGAAGGGCTCTGGGATTCAAGAAGGGCTCTGGGTGCTGGTCATAAGATGCTCTAAATAGCAAGACTAGGTATTATGACTGTTCACCACTACCCCTCTAAAACCCTGAACCCTAAACCCGAAAACGCTAAAAGCATGGGCTCTTGCCCCTTTGAGCCGCAGCACGGAAAGCTCGAAGGCACAGTCGCATACCAAGCGCTGCGTCTCAACTCTGCGCAGGCCTGGAGTCCTCAGAGTGCAGATTACTCTGGTTATTGATTATCAACTATGACTATTCGTATTGATTGTTATTCTTGTTATTAGTATTTTTTGATTACTTTGACTATAGACCATGATCATGACTATTGCTATTATTATGATTAAGTAAATCCTCTTCTTCTGACTGCTTCATAGGCAGTGGGGGAATGGGTTACTGGGACTACCGCAGAGGACCTTAAGAGACTATCATAGGGATCCAGTCCCTAAGCCCTAAACCCTAAACCCCCATTCCCTAAGAACCAGGGAGGAGCTGGAATACAGGCATCGGAGTAATCAGTCGTACTAGTCATTACTGGTCGCTCAGAGCCCCTGGTTCCCAAATGCAGTACAAGATGCCTCCAACACCCTGTAGCTCTTACTGTTAAGGATCCGTTAGCGGGGCAAGTAAGGTTTAGCCTGAACTAGCAGGGTCTGTTTATGAATCGCAGCGCTTGAGGAGCTTGTGTTTTGCAGTACAGCTTCCAGCTTCCAGCACAGTTTTTCGCTCTTGAAACCCAGCCAGCATAGCAGGGTTTTGTGATTCGAAAAACGGGAGATCGCTTGTCGCGATATGTCGTGATTGGCAAAGTCCTCCTCCTACTACTACTACTAGTTACTACTACTACTACTACTACTACTACTACTACTACTACTACCACCAACACCACCACCACTGCCACCACCACCACGACTCCCACTCCTATACTCCCACCCGCACTACCACTTCCACTACCACTTCCACTACCATTACCACTACCGCTACCACTACCGCTACCGCTACCGCGACGACGACGACGACGACGACGACGACGACGACGACAACAACAACAACAACAACAACAGCAACTACAACAACAACAACAACAACAACTACTACTACTACTACTACTACTACTACTACCACATCATGCATGACTGTTGTCAGTGTTGGTGCAGTTCGTCTTCTTGTTTTACTCTGCTGCGTATCACTAGTATTATCACTATGCCTGTCTTTGATCATCGCACGTGCCAGGCGTGCATCAAGATGAGTAGCTGGACCACTGCGATCGAGCATGCCGGGAAGGTCCTCCTCCTGGAGAAGGCCGCTTTGCAAGTTAAGGATTACCGATAGGCCCAAAAGTAGTTCCTTTTTGGGGTTCACATATAGAATCCTATAAGGTAACCCCAAAAAGGAACTACTATGGGGCCTATGGGTAAGGGCAGCGAATCATTCATTTGCTATGCCAAGCGAGGCCCCTTTTCGCAGGTGTGGCCGGGTAGGTTTCGCTTTGCAGCCGTGGCCGGATGTGTTGCTGTGCAGTGGCGTCCTTTGAGAATGCCACAGCCAACGAGTCACTGCAGGCGGCACGGATGACATGAACTAACTTCAGGTTCCGGCAGCACGGCTCAAGGATTGGATGATGAGGATGAAGGCTTCGGTTCAACAGCATCGGGCTGTAGTTTTTGGCGTTGCGGTGGCGATGGGTGCTCACCTCTTGCGCCACGGGAACGAAACCGTCACTACAGCCGCAAACACGAGACTCCCACCTCCATCGTTGTTGTTGAGCTGTAAGGCCCTTCTTGCCCAGTCCCCTGCGTGAGAGATGCAGCACGAGCTTGGTAGATTCGTTGGGTCGGGAGCTTCGGCTACTGTGTTGCATTGGGCCTGCAGTTCAACAAAAATAGGGGTCATGCTTCATGTGGGTCTTGGTTCGTTACTCTGACGACGTGTTGCAGCGCTGTTGTGTTACGAAGCAAAATAAGATGTATAGTTAAGCAGCTGTAAGCTCCAAACTCTGAGCCCTGAGCACTTTGAGCTTGGATGGCCAGGACAACACCAAGGCATTGTACAGAAAAAGCTTAGCGGCGGCCCAGCTGGACACGGAGGGGTCAGGGTCCCCAGCTCCTTGCAGGTCTCTGAAGGTGTACCCGTTCATTATGTGTGAGGCTTACAGTGCAGAACATATGCGTCTGCACGTACAGAGCCAGGTATGTACTGCTGGCCCAATATACCGACAGCAACCACAGGACCTGGGCCCTTCCGATAGGAAGAGCCGTCGCGGCAGCGGCAGCAGCCTAGGCTCTAAACTCCAAGTTAGGCCTAAATCCGAAACCCTGAAAAACCACCCAGAAAACTCACCAGAATGATGCAAGGAGGGATTTAGGAGTCGACGTTTCAGGGAATCCAGCCGGAGTTCCCCAAACTTCATCTCCCAGAGACGGCTTAGGGCCAAAGTTTAGGGTTTAGCTTCAAAAGCCCGTCATATATATATATATATAATCGTAATAATATATACATACATATATATATATATAGATATAGATATATAAACCCTATCTAAGCCGTGAAATCACCAGCAAAAGGAACCCGAGGCCTCAAATCAAACCCCTAAGCCCGCTAACTAAAGCCCGAGCTCCCTGAGCCCAAAATCCTAGGCCCTAAACTTCGAAACCCAAAATCTTAAGGCTTACTTTAGGAAACCCTTATATTAATTTATACTAATATTTAATGTCATTTAATGTTTGTAGAACCCTTGTAAAGCACCTTACTGAAGCCTTGAAACCTGAAGCGCACACCCTCAACCCTGAACCCTACTGTAATCCCTAGACACCCAAAACCCTGAACCCCAAACCCTAAACCCCATGCACTCAAAATCCTAAACCCTAAGCCCCAAGCCCCATGCTCGCAAACCTGAACCCTGAACCCTCTAAGCCCAAAGCCCTGAACCCTGAACCCCAAACTGAAATCCTTGAAAACCCTAATCCAGATAAGCCCTAAACCTCCCAGGGCGTCTGAGGCGGCTACCTTTTCTCGGTGGGTTTCTTGAGAACAGCATAACAAAGAATCCCATAACGGTAGGTTATTTGGGGTGAAGGCCCTAAACCTCAGAACCCTAAACCCTAAANNCTAAAACCCCTAAACCTTAAACCCCAAACCCTAAAACCCTTTTTCCTAAACCCTAAGACCCCTAAACCCTAAAACCCCTAAAACCCCTAAACCCTAAAGCCCGACCTTTTAATGTGAGCCGAGAGGCTCCGGTGGCGCGTCCGTCGGCGCTTTGGCCGCGGTGGAGCTCGACCTGCACCAACCCAGAGACTCCAAAACCCCTTAATTAAGGAATATACCTTAAATGATCTTAGGAATCCTGTTATAATTTAGGAATATACCTTAAATGATATTAGGAATCCTGTGGTAATTTAAGGTATATTCGTTAATTAAGAGGTTTTGGAGTCTCTAGGAACTTTTTTCAATGGTATCCCGAAAAAGGAACTACAATGGAGACTATAGGGAGTTTCTTAGTAACGGCATACATCGCTTTCTTGATGAGTGACCCCGAGTCAAGGGAGTTTGTTAGTAAGGGCTTACACCGCTTTCTTCATGAGTGACCCGAGTCAAGAAAATTGACAATCTTGACAGTAAAGCTCTCGGGCGCTTCCTTATGTAGAATGTAGCTGGTCTTTACTAGTATGAGGATCTCTATAGGTAAGGCATCTGTTTAAGGCTTATCCGGATCCCGGAAGCCGTTTCCTAAACCTCGAACACCATAATATAGTGACCTTCACCCCATAGGCCCCAACTCCAAGCAACCCTATAAACCAAAAGCCTCGCGAAGCCGTCACTGCAGCCAAGCCCCGTGGAATGGAAGCCTACGTCCCCTCCTCATCGTGAGGGTGAAAAACCCTGTGTACAAGGGCCATCATCGCTGCGAGCCCGGCTCTAGCATATTATAGCACACATCTATAGCACGGAACCCTACGTATGAGTACTAATCGAGGTATTTCTGCAGGCTTCGATCTTCACTTTAGTCTCCAACTACCGGTTCTTATGCATTGGGGCCAGAGCCCCATACGCCGCGTCCTCGGCCTTGAAGCTGCAACCAAACTCTGCCAGCCCAGAATCCACCTATAGTCTCCATTGTAGCTTTTTTTGGTTTAACCAATTATATATGAAGGATTTTACACGGTATCCCCAAAAAGGAACCACAATGGAGACTATAGGCAGAATCGAACCCAGAATCCTGAAGAGCTAGGCACGGTGTCATATATGAAAGCGTTCAATCCTGAGAAATCTGCATAACTAACACACTTCACAGAAGCACTTTATTGCCCCATGGCATCCTACCAAACAGAGTATAACACCCACTTGCTTGAGGAGAAAAGCTGACGAATCTTGGTCTCCGACGGCTCGACGGTGTGGTGGATGAGCTCATCCATCTAGGTGGAGGGCTTCGGCAGCAGTTTTAAGTGTACATTATGGAAGGGTTTTCTTAAACATCCGCGATTTACGGTTTCATCCTCTTCTTGGAACGGCTTAAGCATGTAGTCATCGAAACAAGAAAGCTACCCATTTTAAAGTCAACATCATATCAGGGCCCCGGGGTCCCTTGCGTGCTGAACCTACGAACTGGGAGCAGCGGGTTTAGGGTTGAGGGTTTTTAGGGTTTTTGGGGCTTTTGTGGCTTTTGGGGCTTTTTAGGGTTTTTAGGGTTTTAGGGTTTAGTGTTTAGAACTTGTAGGAGCTGAGCTGCAGCCACAAAGCGAAGAAAGCCAACCCCTTTGAGCCCAGCACTCCAATGGAGGGGCCTTCATAATTCAGCCCATGAAGTGCTCGTGACGGCTAGTGAAGAGGGTTTTGGGATACCGCGGCCCCAGGTGAATAGCCTTACCCGAAACCCTAAACCCTGAACCAACCCTAAACCCTAAACCCTAAACCCTGAACCCTAAACCCTAAACCCTGAACCCTAAACCCTAAACCCTAAATGTCTGAGGCGACTGGAGGAGGCCAGAGCTGACCTTATGCGCCTGGCCGTGCTGGAGCCAAGCAATCGCGAGGCTTTGCTCGTTTGAGGGTTCCCGGTTTAGGGGGTTTAGGGGTTAGGGTTTAGGGTTTAGGGTTTAAAGTTTAGGTCTAGGGTTAAGGGTTTAGGGGCTCCTTTTAAAGGGTTCCTGAAATTAAAGACGAGATCTCTAAGGCTTCCTTCAGGGTCTTGGTTTTCAGGTTCAGGGTGTTAGGGCTGTGGGTTTTGGGTGTAGGTTGTGGGTTTCATGGCATTAGGTTACTATAGAGATTACGGGGCTTAGAGTTTGGGATTCTTGGGCTGAGGCTTTAGGGATAGGACAGGGCGTCTAGAGCTAAGGTTATAGATGGTTGTAGAGTAGGATATACCCTGCTTCTCTGATCGAGACAACATGTTCTGGCGGTTTAGGGGGCATTGCATTGCGTTAACGAGTAGTCCTGACAGCACTATTTCCCATGCAAGCACGGCGCAAAGCCATCCTCGTGGCCAGCATTACAAAACCCTCGTCGGGCTTGTGTTTCTGTAGGGTTTAGAAGTTGGCGTGTAGGGGCTCTAGACTTTAGATTCAGGGGCCTCGCGAATCAGCATAGGGCTTGTGTGGTCGTACGTTTTGATATTATGTCGTCGTGTTTTTTTTTTTTGGTTTCAGGTTTGGGCGTTCGTGTCTGGTCCAGAGCAGAATGTTAAGCCTGCAAAGGCATGACCCAAGGCATGACCTTCAAAGGTAGAGTAAGGCTGAAGGCCTTATAAGCCTTAGCGCCCGAAACATTGAACCCGAAACCCTCAGCGCTGTACCCTTTGCCCTAGACCCCACACCCTCAGCCCATGCCCTCAACCCAAAAACCGGATGCTCAAACACGAAACCCACTCAACACAAACCTACTTGCCCACAAGCTAACATGGAAGCCTACATAATCAGGTAAGGTTCCCTTCTAGTCCCTCAGTTGGCTATAGTATACTATGCCTCGAGACCCTATTCCAATTATGAAGGCCCCTGTCTTGGAAACCCCAAACCTTGAACCTTCGACCCGAAAACTAGACATCACCCTAAACCCTAAACCCTAAACCTTCGACCCGAAAACTAGACATCACCCTAAACCCTAAACCCTAAACCGGGCCTGAACCTATGATTTGTGCAGGCCCGGGAGCTGCTAGTGAAGGTGAAGGAACGACTGAAGGACTCCCGGTTAAGGCGGTTGAGGGCTTAGGGTTCCGATGGTTTAGGGCTTAGGGCTCCTCGAAGAGATGAGGGATTCCTGCGAGGGTTCTTCCGAGGGATCTATGGAGGTTTTGAGACTTAGCTTTTTCAGGTTCAGGGATGGCCGGATTTGGGAATACACAAATTGCTTCGATACGCGGGAGGTAGATAGACTCCTATAACTATAACCGATGGTGCCTTAAATGACGTTCAACAGTTGCATGTCATTGGGAGGCCAGGCTCTGCACCAGCTGGCGCGACACCAGCGCTGGTATCCGCTGTCTTGAAACATGGTTGTACCTATTTTGTCTTTTCTATGCTCATGACGATTGTCGTTAATACTGTTATGATGATGCTTCTGGTTCGTTCCACTTTCCTTTTCATTTGTGTACGAAAGTCGGAAAATCCTCAACCCCCCGAAGCTCCCTAAACCCTAAACCCCTAAAAACAAAACCAAACCCTAAACCCTAAACCCTAAAACACAAAGCTAAACCCTAAATGCTTAGATATGCGATCGCGGGCGCAGCGAAACGAACGAAGACCATAAATAGGACCTGAAGCAGCAAGAGAAAGAAAGGCCCGTTCTGGCATTAGGGTCCCTTTTTAAGGGTTTTGGGTTTAGGGTTCTTGATTTAGGGTCCGTTTTTGCGGGTTCCTTAAAGGGATCTATAGGGGTTTCTACAGGGTTTCTATAAGGCTACAAGGGTACTACAGGGGCTCTACATGGGTAGGTCTTTAAATCAGGGTCCCTTTTAGGGTCCTTTTTTATGAGTACTTTTTTCGGACCTCATCAGGACATAGTACGGTAGGAGCCAAGATACAAGTGGGGCTTCTGAAACTGTGGGTTGCCCGTAAGAGCTGTTTGATGATCCAGTTGTCTTTTTGCCAGGGTTGTCCATGGAATTAGGGCTCCCTTATTGAACGAGTACCTCGCCATAAGACTCTTGTTTCCTTTCTTCTCTGCAACTCTCAATAAACCCACCGCTTCATTCGACCCACATCCTAGAGTACTAGAGCAGCCGTGCGTTGCGGAAGTGGGCGGTTCAGTGAGTGCGTACATGCAAGAGTGCCCTAACCTCCCAGGTACCTACTATATAGGGTACTAGAGCCCCTAGGGCCCTATATAGTAGGTACCTGGAAGGTTAGGGGTGTGTCTGGGCTGGTCGAAGTGTGTGCGTGTTTGTGAATGTGAGCCTCTGCGTCGCGAGCTGGCAGAGATACCATGACAGATGTCGATTACACTGGTAAGGCAACCAAAGCAAGATTCCAGTCCTCATTGCATGGACTTCCACCAGGGTCGAGACATGTTCATGTATGGTCAGACTCGACTCCAGCTCCCCAACTTCTCTAAATCCATGGGCGTGTAGGGTTTAGGGTTTAGGGTTTAGGGTGAAGCTGAGTTGTGGGAGTAGGTAGCACTGGTGGTGTCGGGCCCCAGCAACGATGCGAACGCCTGCGCACCAGCGCCGAAACGAGGCTTTCTGCTGCCATGAAGGGCGGCCTCTACCAGGAGCAGCACAAGAAGACACTTGGCAGCGACTGGGAGGTTTGGGAGGGCTGGGGGGCTTCCAGGTCCCCAACAAAGATTAGGATTAAAGGATCCGTCGGACCCCGGGGATGCTTCAAGGGGAGTGGGTGCCAGGGATCCTTATAGGGAGCCTTAGGGGATGGATGACATTCCCCCCCCCCCCCGTAACAAGAGCCATAATTAGGCTTCTTGATGGGGGGAGCCTTGGTTCGGGAGGTCTTTTTTTGGGGGATCTTTGCAGTTCGGGTTTACTTGTTTGACACTGATTGCCTCGATAAGTTCCATGGTCCCATGGTCATCACATCACCAGTATCATTATTGCTATCTATTTCGATCTGCGGGTCGCTGGATGCCGTTGTAACCAATATCATACCATAGTTACCATACCATAATGAAAGTCATTGCAAAAAGTGGTTGGTATCGAAGTTGTGGGACAAGTCTAGTGTCTTTGAGGCTCTGGCTCAGGGCTGACGGGTGTTTGTGGGGCCATTGGGTTGGCTGTACTGCGTTGTTGAGTATACTAGGTGCCGTTCGAAGTGCGATGCGCGTGAAGTGTCGTGGAGCAGAAAGTCTGTGTGGCAGTACAACATTTGGGTCAACGGCACGGCATAGGCATAGACTGCAACGAAAGCCTTAAGACCCTCAGCGCCGAGCTGCGTGAAGCTAAGTTTTTGGATGTTTGAATCCTCAGGAGAGTCTCCCAGTCACCTGCCAAACTGTGCTCTTCCCAGGCACGGAAAGCTGCAAGCTGCATACGAGGAAGAGGCGCGTCTTCCGACTCGACTTGGTCCAAAAGGCTTTCCCCCGTCATCGTGGGCATCCTCATGCTCGCTGTCGTGTGCCTCCAGCCTCCTGGTCATCATCACAATCAGCGTCAGGATGCCATCATAACCACTAAACCACTGACATCACCGTGATCACGGGCACGGCCATCAAAGCTCCCGAGGCACAGAGGGTTGCCTTTTCATGTCCTCATTGGCAGGTCAAGCGACGGAAGGAAGCCGGGGAGGACGAGATCAGCTTCGAGGAAACTTGGCAAAGATAGATAAAACATGGCACCCCCTAAGTACTAGAGCGCTGGTACACTTTAGCAACCCCGTCTGCTGTGCTTCTACCCAGCAATTCAACCCGGTCGAGCCTTGGTTTTAGGGATCTTGGGGTTTCAGCAGTAAGGCAGAAGAGTGTATCCCTCCATGTCCAGCCGTGAGCCTTCGGGTAGCGACGATGGCTTTGGTATTTGCATTCAGCATTTCAAGAGCGCAACTCGGGAGTGCTGGCATCGCGGCAGCCACAAGTCGGTGTGGTGGCTTCTTCTATGTGCGACCACCTGAGTTCTTGGGCTCAGGTTCTGCAATCTTATTGAAATTTCGGGGGTGAGGGTCATGTTTGTATCACAAGCTCTTGTCCCAACCAGGACTTTGCCAAAAAGGCGAAGGAGAAGGAGGAGGAGCTGGAAAAGAAGCAGAAGGAGCTTTATGGACTTGGAGGGCATCGTGGGAACAGTGGCCTTCCTTACACAGCCCTGCTTTCGAAACCCAATGTGGGTGAGTCAGTTCAGAGTTCCGTATATATATATATATTATATATATATATATATATGTAGATACACACATATACATATACATATATATGTATATATACTGGATATGTATATACCTCTGTGTGTTGATTTACGTATGGTCTGTTTATATATATATATGTATATGTATATACCTTTATATGTAGATATCTATACACACACACACAACACACACATAACATATATATATATATATATATACACCGCATGTGTGCGTTGTGTGTTTTCTTGACAGTTTTGGGCAGCAAGGAAGGCTAGTCGCCAGAGTCCTCTCATCATGGAGGAACCAGATGATGAGAACCCCTGCCAGGGGAAGTTTCACCTGGAAGGGAGTAGGATAGTAGGTTCGTCTTCAGGGCCCCTTGCTATGAATCCCATCTTTTTGGTGTCAATAAATTGCCAGGGATCCTCACTGTGGATCCCATTATTTCGGGGTCATGGGATCAGGCCGGGAACCCTAAGCCCTAAACCCACATGATCAGGTCAGGGAAGGAAGGCATTACGAGCTGGGATTAAGGCTGTACGGATTTCGCTGGCTTTATGCAGGGGCTTGCGGCTTTTGAGTTTTAGGGGTGTGGGTTTCAGGGTTTGACGAGTGGTAAACAAAGCTGACAGCTATTACTGCAACAAACAGGAACTGTTGTGATGTGGCACCTGCAGTACTGTGCGATTATTTATTCACAGTGAACCAGGTGTTTCGATGAAGTTGCCAATACCACCGCCAGCAGAGTCATCCTCCTCTCAGCAGCAGCATCGTCATCAGCTCGTGTTGCGCAGGGGCTTTGTGTGCAATGTGGGAAGCGGAAATGCAATTTCGTGGCAGAAGGCCTTTCACCCTATGTAGCAGCAGTTAAGCAAGCACAACATCAAAGGTCCCTCCGCCCAAAGTTGCAGGCACCCGTTGCCGTGGGAGCGAACCCAAAATCACGAAGGGGCCAGTTTCTTTGAGAGAAACAGAAAGTAAAGTGCCTCAAATGAACCCCTTGCATGCTGGAATCCCGCTGTTTTGCCGAACAATGACCAATATCATCCGTGAGGACTCCTCATTAGAATCATACCATGATATACTCCAAAACCGCTAGATCTTTTTGTTAAGGCCCCTATAAATCCGGCAGAAGATCCCCGAAAGGAGGATGCCAAAAAGCGAAAGGAGGAAGAGCAGCTGGAGGAGGAGAAGAGGCCCGGTTGTGGATGGTCCAAAGTACACGGTACGTAATATTTAACCTTATCCTTCTCTAATACAAACTATCTCAAGTATAGTGGCATATATCCCGAAAACCTATTCTGATTGTGAAGGCTCTGTAGCAAGTTGAGAGTAGCGAGGGGTTTAAGTATGATATGAGGGCCTTTTGAGTGCGGGAGTAGTTTAGATCGCCATGGCTTCGCGAGAGATTGAGGGGGGCAAGGTTTGAGATTACTAGGGTTTGCACAACATAAGACTTCCTTGAGTTGTGGGGATTTGTGAGCGCCTCTTACGGCCTATCTCCAGCGACCAGCTAGGGCAGATCACGATAGCAACACCCTGTGAAATTCCCTACGACCCCCCCAACACTCCTCACTCCCAAAACCCCTAACCCTAAACAGCAACCCCAAAAGACTGTTGCAAGAGTGTCTTGGAGGCAGCTCGCCCTAGAAAACGCCCGCCGCGCAGCGGACGGAAAAGCCGAGCTCTCTTTAGAGGCCTGGAACTTTCAGCGACTTCGGCTCAGGTGGTGTCGGCTTTGGGTTTAGGGTTTAGGCCAGGGCTGAACAAGGGGGGGCTCTGAATAGTTAGTAGTTATTAACTGTTTCCCTGTCTTCTGATACCTGTGTAATTGTACTGTAGGACGCACAATAACCGGCATGTAGTTGATCTACTGCTCAAGGCTCTTATATTCAGAGGGGTGTAGAGCTTCCAGAAGATGCGGCTTCAGAACGGGTGAGGTTCCGACGGCCTTCAGAGTTTTCGAGAATTCAGGGTTTAGGGTTTAGGGTTTAGGGTTCCTCTCCGCCTTGCTTCCAAAGGGATTCCCAACTGCCGTGACTGGTGAGCAGTGGGTCAGCGCGCTTGAGGTTCTTAAGGCAAAATTTCGACGGTTGTTTGTACATGTACTCATCATTCGCAGAGTTTTGTCGGGTCCTTGGTAGGTACCTAGAGTTTCGCATTTATTTGCACTTAGCCGCATCTTGAAGGCTTCCTTTGTGACACCTCTATCCCGCTGACCGGCTCGATGACTTGCCAAGAGGGCTCCTTATCATGGTGGGTTCAGGGCTTGGGGCTCAGAGCTCAGCATTCAGAGTCTAGGGGTTCAGGGTTTTAGGGTTGAGGGGGTCCAGGGTTCAGGGTTTAGAGTTTAGGGTTGAGGAGGTTCATGAAGGCGGGTAATACCTTGGTTTTTTTGGCAGAGTTCGGATGCTCTTCTTGTCGAAGCTCCGCCCTTCAACTTCCAGAAGCCTCCTGAACAGGCTGCCCTGTCCACGCCGCGAAGTTGGCTACATACCCTTAAAGCCCTGAAGATGCCCTTATAGTTATAGAGCCTGTATAAAACCCTAGACCTTAAAGCAGTATAGATAATTACCCGTTTTTGGAGCCCGGATGGACACACTTATGGAACCTCTCTCGTTATCCGGATCCTAAACCGTGAAATCCCGAGAACGACGAGCCTTACTTAACGAACGTACGTCGAAAAGGGGAGATTTGACTCTGAGTTCAACACCCCCACTAGCAAGGCAAGCCCTTGGAAGCATTACAAACTACAATTACCCTAAACCCTAAACCCTAAACTACAATTGTAGAACCCTAGGCCCTAAACCCTAAACTACAATTCTACAATTGTAGAACCCTAGGCCCTAAACCCTAAACTACAATTCTACAATTGTAGAACCCTAGGCCCTAAACCCTAAACTACATTTATACAACCCTCACAGAACCCTTACCACAACCCTCAGGACTTGATCTCCCGTGCTCCCAGAGCCAGTCTGAGTCTCACTCCGCATGAAGCTTCCTGAGCTACTTAAAGGATCATGGGACTTAGTAAGTATAGGGTTATAGTTAAGGTAACTATACTTATAACCCCAATTAGGGGACTTATAACCCTACTTACTGAGTCCCATGATCCTCCAAGTAGGGGGGTGTTCTCTGGTCCGAGCTTCAGGGAGGCTTCCCCTAAGCTGCAATCTTCAGTCCCCTACTGCAAGAAAGAGAGAGAGAGAGAGAGATATATATATATATATATATAGAGAGAGAGAGAGAGAGACAGAGACAGAGACAGGGACAGAGACGGAGACGGAGACAGAGACAGAGACAGAGAGAGTCCGAGCGAGCAGGATTGGCGGGCCGAGGTCGCCAAGAAGGCCCTTGGGGGTTTAGGGGTGTAGGGGCTAAGGGGTTTTAGGGTTGTAGGGGTTATGGCTTCAGAGTGCCTCATTGAAAAGAACGCGGCGTAGAACTGGTTACAACCCTCTATGATGGGTGTCTAGCCGTCAAAACGATGACTAGGCGTCATATAAGCCAGCATCTGAAAACTATCGCGGCCTCTCCAAAAACTCATCTGGTAGTTTAGGGTAAGGTCGAAGCTGCTTTGGGGGGAGTTTTGCTGCAGAAGATGTTGTGTTGGGGCTTGCGATTTCAGTGCCAACTTTTCCTCAGACTCCTAAGATTCCGTAAGGGTTTAGGGTTTGGGGGTTCCGATTTCATTGCCAACTTTTCGCAAGGTCCATGAAACCCTGAAGTAGACTAGTAGAGCACCGCGTTTCATCCATCTCCAACACTGGCTGCACCTGATTCAGAGGCTGTTGCGACTGTCTGTCAATGCTTGGAGGTAACTGCTCCTCGGGTTGCCTTCCTGATCTGAAGTTGGACCTTGCGCATGCGTGGTCCTAGGAGTAAGTAGATGATGATTATCTAAGCCCTGAACCCTCAACCCCCTACTGTAGAACCCTAAACCCTCCACCCCTAGACCCTTCAACCCTTGAACCCCTGAACCCTAGACCCATTTCGCTGAGCAGCTTGGACGCTTACTTCTCTCATGGATCAATGTGGGGGGCCAAAATGATTACCTAGATTGTGTTGGGATGTATGCATGGCTAGATGGATGGATGGATAGCTAGATAGATAGATAGATAGATAGATAGATAGATAGATAAATATAAACAATATATATATATATATATATGTATATAGATAGATAGATACACACACATACTTGTTTATTCATCTATGCATCTTGTGTATATATATATATATATATGTATATATCCACACAGATATTTAGAAAATATTACATATACGTTCCATGCCCTAAACCCTGAAACCCTGAACGTAGGGTGTGGACATGAGACTTGGCCAAGCGAGTGATAGGGGCCTGCATAATTAGAATAGGGTTTTGGGGCCCGTTATAGAATAATTCTAATATCCATCGATCTATATATATATATATATCTCTCTCTCTCTCTCTCTCGATCTATCTATCTATCTGTCTGTCTATCTGTCTGTCTATCTGTCTGTCTGCCTATCTATCTACCTATCTATCTCCTGTTTATAGAAACCCGTCTGGAAGCCCGGGAGCCCCCGAGTCTCCAGGCGCAGGAAGCCCGGAAGCGCGCGGAGGAGGCAAGGGCAGCGACAAGAGAAGCCATTCCCAGTTAGGGTCTGAGGGTTTCAGGGTTTAGGGCTTTAGGGTTTGAGGGTTTCGGGGTTTAGGGTTGTAGGGTTTTTTGGGGGTTTAGGGTTTAGGGTTTTAGGTTTAGGTTTCACAGGTTTAGGGTTCATACTACCACCATCACAGCAAGAGCAGTAGCGGCGACGACGACAACAACCACAACAACAGCGACAAGTGACAAGTGTTAGTACTTGTGCGAACAGGAGTACTCGTAATCGCACCGGCACTAGCACTGGCATTCGCATTGATTAGCACCAGCACCAACAATAGTGCCACTGCTGCTGCTACCATTCCTAGCTGCAGCTGCTGCGACTGCTTCCTCTTGTACTACCACGACCACGACGCCTACTGCTGCTACTGCTACTACTGCGACTACTGCTACCGAAGGTAATGCTACCGCTGCTGCTGCCACTACCGCCATCGCTACCGCTACCGCTGCCGCTACCGCTACCGCTACCGCTACCGCTACCGCTGCTGCTACTGCTGTGATGCTGCACGCCACTGGCTGTCTCCCCGAATGCCAGCCACCACCCGGGTTCAGCCCCTACTCTAAATTCTAGAACCCTGCAGCCCACATCCCTAGCTGTCAAACGTAAGCTGCAAGCAGTCCCCAAACCTAATCCCAAACGAAATCTCCTAGCCTTCACCACTCACTTGAACCCGGCAGAACTGAAGACCCCAAGAACACCTCGAAGAACACCCTTAGACCCCGTGGATCCCTCAGCAAAGGTATTGTGCCTATATATATATATATAGCGCGTCTAGTGCAATTGAACAGATTTAAAATATAGAATGCAGTATGATAAAACACAGAAACATCCAGCGCGCTATAGATAACATCGCAGAATATCGTGCAGTACAAAACAAGAGCAGTTTCTATTCCTTTCAACATTTACATCTATCTCTCTCTATTTTTCTATTTATGCATGACAAATTGTCGGTATATTCCTCGAGTAGGGGGTAGTCGGCTCTCTTGGTCCTGGCAAGGTTGTGAAGATGGACGAGGCAGAGTTGGACGAGGAGGAGAGCGACGATGCAATAGGGATTTCAGGTTTTTTAGGGCTCTGAGTTTAGGATTCAGGGTTGTGGGTTTTTGAAGTTTTCAGTGTTTTGGGGTTTGAAGTCTAGTCTAGGGTTGAGGGTTTTAGTGTTTAGGGTTTGGGTTTTAGGGTTCAGGGTTTGGTTTGGGGTTTGGTTAAGGTTCAGGGTTTTGGGGTTTCGAGTTTAGGGTTCAGAGTTTGGGGTTGAGGGTTTGAGTGTTTAGGGTTTGGGGGTCAGGGAACCAAGAGACTGAATCCTGCTTCCGGCGTTGGGTTCTTTTTTGCAGGGGTTCTAGATCATATTCTATATATATATATATGTATATGTGTGTGTGTACATATATATATATATATATGTACATATATATATATATATATACACACACACAGACATAGAGTCTTGCTGGGCTTGATAGGTGCTTATTATGGGAGTTTGGGACCTTAGGCCTGCGAGTTGCCTTCTACGCACCCCGAAGCGAGGTACCCCACATGTCAGCAGCGGCCCGGAACCCCAAAGAGGAAGTCGAAGTCCCCAACCCTAAACCCTAAACCCTAAACCCAACATGCTCCCAGTCCCTGGGTCCCTGTTGGGTCTTTTGCGGGTCGGGGTTGGCTGGGATGTAGCCATGCAGCCCAGCACTCTCGTGGGTTGCATGGGCGTTTAGAGTGACTGTGACAAAGCGTGGTGAAACAAACTGTAGAGCCCCTAAAACACCCGAGTGTCGGGGACCCTCATGGGTAGTTCTCTAAAGGGTCCCTTTTGCGGTCCCCAGTATGGTACGGCACCCTTATAAACAGAACCCTAATTTGGAGAGCCACCCACACAGAACCCTAAAATTACCCCTATAGAAACCCTTATTGACTACTTATAGATCCTTAGAACTACCCACATCATTCCTGGCAGCGGGCTCGCAGATCTCAAGTCCTCCTTTGACACCCCGAAGCTAAACGTTCAGCCGACAAAGAGACACCATCTACCCTCAGGTAGCATAGGGTTTAGGAAGTTTAGGGTGTAGCGGTTTAGGGTTTAGGCTTCATCTTAAACCCTGGAGGTTTATCCAAACCCCGCAACCCCCAGAGGACAAGAAGCTGCTGAAAGAGACCAAGCTGGCTCCTTGGAGACCGCGGGTGCTTTGATGCTGCGCGTTCTTGTTTTTGGTGACATCAGTGTGGGGGTGAACTTGCTCGTGTATATTGATATGCCTCTATCTCTGTACATCTATCTATCTATCTATCTATGTATCTATCTATCTATCTATCTATCTATCTATCTATCTATCTATATATGTACTTATATGCATACATGCATACATATATATATATATATATATGTGTGTATACATATATATGCATACATGCATACATATAAATATATAAGAATAGACACCTATGTCTACATGTGTGTGTGTATATATGTACATACAGAAGATAACTGTACAATTCTGTGTGCACATGTCTGTATATTTACGTATGCACACCTTTGTTATATGTATGTAGCTCTAGTTGCTCTAGTTATACAGGCCAACGAGAGTTACGGTGACAGTAGTGATGCTTGTGCAGTCCCAACTGATTCCCTCACAAAGTGTGCAGCAAAGCAGGTGTATGTGAGTGAAGCTCAATGGGGTAAGGTTGTGTTAGTGTTTGGGGTTCAGGATTCCGGCAGCCATGCTGCATCGCTGGAAGCGTAAACCCACCAACCCGAATTTGCCACCCCTTTTCTGCACTTGATAGGCGAAGCCTCTGGTGGAAGCTCTCGGGAGACTGTGAAACACTGAGAAGAATGCTGGTGGTTTGGATAATCGGTTATGCCATGCGTGAGGGTTCCCATCTGCATATGTACATATATGCCTATGTATGTATGTATACAAGCAAACGCACAGACATACCTACGTACATACCTACGTACATACCTACGTACATACCTACATTGCATGCGTGCATGCATGCATGCATGCATGCATGCATACATGCATACATTCTTACATACATAAGATACATACATACATACGTACATACTACCACACAGAAGCTCCTCCAAAGCCCCATCCTTCTGAATCTGTACTACGGAGATTGAGCTCGACCCTGAGCCTGAGCCTCGGAGATGCAGCCGAGGGAGAAGGGCTACTACCACGGCCGGCTTGGCACTGCTGTGCCCTCGGGTTCTGCATTAGGCAGCTGTTTATCGCCATCGAGTTCAGGGCTCGGGGTCCGTATGACAGCTTTACAGAGCTTCGTGTTTGGGCTTTCAGAGGCGTGCGGGTTACTGCAAAAGCGACATTGTGATAATCACCGTCCTCCGCGCTTGTTGCAGCGTTGTCGGGCGCCTCGTTCGAAGCTTTGAGGCCGAAACGCTGTTGGTGGTCTACAATCACATGCTCTTGAGGTTACCAGGGAATGCCACGAGCTAGTCTTGAGCCGCACAGTCTGTGTGAAAGGAGCCCCAGATGTAGTGTTAGTGTATTTATCCCTGGACAGCTCGAGTCGAGAGCACGCAGCGTCACGAAACCCTAGACCTACCCCTACATACACCCTACAATACCTGTTAAAAGACCTTACATGACCCCTGAAAAGGAAACCTATAAAAGCGTTACATGACCTTTAAAAGGAAACCTATAAAAGCGTTTCTGTGACCCTTGAAAGGAAAACCTCAGACCACACCCTCCGAGGACTGGTTTGCCCAGATTGAAATCTTCAAGCCACCGCGGTTTAGGGTTTAGGGTTTAGAGCGTAGGGTTTAGGGTTTGGGACCTGAAATGTGCGGCCATAGGGTCTCATAGAGGGATCTTAGTTAGAAAAGTGTTTTGTGGGATGTTATATACTGTAGTTTCAAGCATTGATGGGGAGCCTTGTTGCAAGAGTCCCTCAGAGCGGCAGCCGCTATCACGCGACGGCAGACAGAAAGGCCTCCAAAGCAAGGCCGTCCCCAAGGAGCACTCCGACGGGATCCCAAGCCCTACCAGAAAACCACTACAACCTGCCGTTGGTTTAGGGTTTAGGGTTTAGGGTTTAGGGTTTACGGTTTAGGGCAGACGTTTGCAGAGGTGCTTAACATATGTCCCTACAGAAGTTATTGCCACCCTACGAAGCGATAGGTTGTGATGTGTTTATGTAAAGTCTTTCTGGTCCGAGACCTTCGGGGCTCTTATGAGGTAGCTATATTCTGACAGTTTGAACTATTCAATCGATGGGTTTTTGGGAAGTACGAGGTAGACTCAGGTAGACCCCGGCCGCGCCTTTGAGGTCCTTTCAGACGCTGCCCCAAAGCCGCAGCTGGCTCTGCACCCAGTTTCTGGCCAGCCGCCGTTGCAAGCAGTGAACAAGGCTTTACAATAGGGGCCTAAATAACTACCAATACTATTTTTTGGGTGGTTCCTTGTTAGAATTATACTACAAAGGAGCCCAAAACTCTATTCTAATTATGAAGGCCCCTACATGAGGGGTTTTGGAATCCTAAATCCTAAACCCACCAGATCGGACATGCCCATCCCGCTCAAGCGACTCATTCGGCACATGGTGTTGTGATAGGAATCTGCGGTGGTCGCTGGACGACCACTAGCAAGAGCACCGCTTAACATAGTAAGCTAATGTAGGGGCCTTAAATCTAGGCGCGGCCACAATTGACCTACCTAAATAGGCCCTTCTGACCCTGCCCAAGTCTTCTTGTTCAGAAGTTGCAGAAGTTTGGAAAGCGGTGTGAGGGGTGATGGGGGAGGGGTCGCGGGGGTGGGGAGGGGGGGGGGGCAATAACGACATGCTCGACCGCTTTCATGTTGCCCATCCTTCAGCTGTGGCTGACATGCAGACTCCTCCGCGAGCCCGTTCCCGCTCCGCCATAGAGTGTGGAGTTCGCACAGCTGCGGTCGGCGGTGTCGCTGGCGACATGGTTCCACAGCAGGCTGCGGCGGCGGAGGCGATCAGTCTTGGAGCCGGCGTAGTGGCACGGTCGACAACATGTGAAAAAAGATGCAAGAAGTCATACCGTCCACATTGCGAGTTTCGGCCTCTGAAAGAGATTAAAGTCAATCCCGTCTTGGTGGAACATGTGTTTCGGTTCTCTTTGCGCTGGCATCATGATGCCAACTTCGAGTGCCTGAAGCAGAAAGTCGGGAGCTTCCAGCAAACTCAAAGCTGAAAGTGGCCCGCCCTAAGCTTACATGTCAATGACTGCTGGCATGCACAGCGAAATCGGTAGGACAGCAATGGCCGCGCCAGGCCCTAAATACTTAACTATAGTATTTTGGTGGTTCCTTATTCTTATATTGATAGTATAATATACCCCAAAGCCTATTCTAATTGTTAGACCCCTAGAAAAAGCGTATAACCCCCGAACTGAACAACCACCCAAAACTTGTGTCTTAGACTGGGCTCGGGACTCGCGGAGGGCCAATTCTGAGGAGAGCTGCCCTTAATAATTCAAGAATAGGGCTTCGGGGCACATTGCACGACAAGTATAGTAAGGAACCCGCAAAACCCTGTTCTAATTATTATAAGGCCCCTACATTCGGCCGCTCCTTCGACCCGGAGCTCCCAACGTCTTACGAAAGCCTGAGGCCCCAAAGGTTTAGGGCTTTAGGGCTTTTGACATCATTTTTCCACACAAAAAAGGTATCAAACCCTAAACCCTAAACCCCTAAACCCCTAAACCCCAAACCCTAAAGCCCCATAGCTTCGAAGCCCCCAGCTGCAGCCTCAGAGAAGACTGACCCTAAGGCGTCGTCTTCGCCCTGGTTCTGGGTAGGGTTTATGGAGTTTTGAGGTTGGGAACGGGGAGTGGATCCCTGTGATCTACTCTCTCTTATAAGGTCCGTATCGTCCCAAATAACCCATTCCCCCGTTCCCTACGAAGAACCGCCTCGCGTGCCATGCTTACGGTGTATAGCCTACTTTCTGGTTCTAAACCCCAAACCCTAAACCCTAAACCCTAACCCCTCAACCCAAAAAGCGCCCCTACCAGTCAGTCTTCGCCCCGCAGGTCACCGACCCTTCCTCTCCGACGTCCGGCGCCGTGGCCGGCAGCGAGTGGAACCAGGCCGGGGGGCTTTAAACCAAAACTCTGCATCCTGAAGCCCCGCCCTTAGGGTTTAGGTTTATAGGGTTTAGGGTTTAGGGTTAGGGTTTTGGTTTAGGACTATACGATTTGCAGATATTCCGGATTCTGGTCTCCGGCGGGAACCCGTGAGGTAAGCTGCATTTCACGGAGCAGCCCTAAGGTGCAGGGAGTCCACGAGCCTTGTAGCCCGTCCTGGTGTCCTTGGCTTGCGCCTGTTGGATCTGGCTGACTCAAAGATTGCTTCGAGAATGATAGACTTGCCCTGGTTGACCGCCTCTGCATGTCGGGCTATGGCATCTGCACCGGAAGCAACACTGGTTCGAGCTGATTCAAGCAGTGTGTAGTGTTTTCCCGAAGCTCGCCCCGTCTGCTCCGTGCCCTGCCATGTTTCGCATTGGGCTGATCCGCACATTGCATCAGTGCAGTCGCCATGTCCGGATGTGCCGCGGTCTCTCAGGGGCTGAGGTGTGCCAGGCCGTGACTGCCGGCCTAAGCACCTTCAACATGGGTTTGAAGATGTGGCAGCTGCAAAACCCGAAGCCCGAGCAGCAGAAGTGTTTGCCCCCGCTGCATCTCGACATCCAGTCGCCGCCCGTTGGGACGAAGAAGATTCCAGCAGGCTTCCATCCCCTGCAATACTTGCGAGGGTTGCCGGAGCTGAAGGGCTACAACTTGGATGACTCACGCTTGACTTATGTTTGCCCAGACTTGAACAGCGAAATCGCAATCACAAGTGAGAATGACTGGATTCCCTACCTGCAGAAGGCTTCAGACGGATCTGCGCCCAGACTGGTGCTGCATTGCAAATGGTCTCTGAAAAAGAGGGCGGAGCAGACGATGTCAGATGTTTCGGAGAAGCTTCGCCAGTGGTCGAAAAACCTCCTGTTGAACAAGGATTCCCAGGATGCCGTCAGGCGAGCTGTCCAGTCGTAGCTATGCCGAGTTCAGTGGCCAGGGTGTGGTTCTGGAGGAATTGGGCTATGATGTAGACACTTTCAGTGAGGTGGTGGACAACATGGAGCTGCCAGAGAAGATTATGAAGGGATTGAAGCTTGCAGCTAAGGCCAAGCGCGGCAGCAACAAGGTGTTGCACGATATTTCGTTTGTGAATGGACTCCGCACTGCCTACTACCTGAAGATACAAGTGATTCCGGGCGAGGATGGTAACATCGATGCACTGCTTGCCATATATCGCTTTGATGCGAGAGAGGCGCAGGAGGGTGCCGTGACGGACATGGCCACAGAACAGCTGATCAAGAAGTACATTGAGCTCGATGCGACTCGTATTTGGAAGATGGAGGCTAAGCAGTTCATGAGCGAGTAAGTCTGGCGACGGATCAAGGTGTCTACTCTAGCCACTCGGCTTCTTCGATTACCCGTTCCAATGGCAAAGCTTTTGCTGGAGTGTGTGTGGTACATCGCTCACAGCACCAGCGGATCCAGCCAACCTAGCGTTAGACAGTGCCGATGATCTGAAAAAATCGATCCTGCCTCGATGTGCTGCTGACCTAATGCAGGGGCCTGAATAATTTTCAAGCCTATTGTAGGGGTTCCTCATTATAATTGAAGCATAATGGGCCCCAAAACCCTATTGTTATTTTTAATGCCCCTACCGTAGTTCTGATTTGTCGGGCTCGTCTATTCGGCAGACCCGACGCTTCTGGAGGGTTTGTTGGGATGGGTTAATATAGGGGCCATAATAATTACCTATACTATCTTGGAGGTTCTGTATTAGGGCTCTAGTATAATATACCCCAAAAGCCTATCTTTCTTAGTTATGTAGCTCAACTGCAGCTTTACATTCTACGGATGCACAAGTCATCTTAAGCTTCGTTCGCTTCAGACTTTGGTCCGAGATTCCCCAAAAGCCTTTTCTAATTATTACTGCCCCGACATCAAGAGAGGGCGCTCGCGATTGAAACTGTCGGACCTGGAGATAGAGCTCGGCTCTTTTGCTAGCCGCGAACCCGAGGTCCCTATGAAGCCCTAAACCCTGAAATGCAAACCCCGCAATGCCCCAAAAGCCTCACTCCCTGGTTGCGGGTTCAGCCTCGAACCCCCTACCCACTAAACCGCCCTAAACCCTAAGCCCTAAACCCTAAACCCTAAACCCCAACCCACTAAACCCCTGAAGCCCGAAGTCGAAAGCCTACGCTTTTAGAGCCCTGGCCAGGCCGGAACCTGGGAGGAGAAGGATGCCTCGCCCCTTCGGCTGTCGTCAAAGCATCGCTCGGGGGAGGGTTTAGGGTTTAGGGTTTAGGGTTTAGGGCAGAAGGGGTAACGTAGGGGCCTCAAGAATTACCCAGGCTATTTGGGGGGGGGGTTCCTGATTAGAATCATAATAGAATGGGCCCCAAAACCCTTTTCTAATTATTGAGACCCCGGCCGGCCTATCTTAACTTGAGCCCTTGGCGGCTTCTGTGTAAGCCCTTCTGTCCTTGGTCAGGCCTTGGGGATGAAAGGAACGAATAAAGGGCTCACGCTGGAAATCCTTAGATGCTTCGGCTTTCAAAGTGACGGAAGCTCAATGAAGGTGGCCCAGGATGTTGAAAGTTTTTGAACTTTCGTCTCATACCGGTACCTCTTCATCAATAGCTTTGGGGGCGCAGGTTGTTTCGGTCGGGATTTTGAGCTTGAAGAATGACGCCTTTCATTAGCATCGAAAGTGGCATCTAAGGGCTGGACTTAGCTCATGTGTTTACCAGGAATACCGTAAGAAAGTGCACTAGAGCGAGAACTTAAAGTGGAGCTGACTGCATCAAGGAGTCCAGCTCTAGGGCGACCAGCACCTGTTCCAGACCTTGAAGGGTTCCTAAGCCCTAAACCCTAAGCCCTAAACCCTAAACCCTACAACCCTACAACCCTAAAACCCTAAAGCCTAAAACCCTAAACCCTAAACCCTAAACCCTACACCCTAAAACCCTAAAGCCCTAAACCCTAAACCCTAAACGGCTGCTTGTTGAATGTATGGGGCTTGGGTGCAGGTTGGGAGTTCCGGGTCCGAAAGCCCAGGTCCTGGGCAAAGGAGCGCTTGAGCGCATGGCTTTGCCCTCAGCTTCGGCGTAGAGCCGGGATGTTCGGGCCCTGATTGATGGTAGGGTGTTGGGTTCAGGGTTTAGGGTTTAGGGTTCAGGGTTTTGGGTTTAGAGTTCAGGGTTTAGGGTTCAGGGTTTAGGAGTTTAGGGTTTAGGGTTCAGGGTTGAGGGCTTAGGGCTCCAGTATATTTTGATTGCATCCGCTATGGCTATGACCGGTGCTTTTCTTCCCGGTGTTGTTTGCAGGAACCACGGAGTATCCTGAGAAGGTCGGGTTTCGGTTGAGAGATCGGTGTCGTTCTGTTTGGGGTTGAACTCTTACCTCGAAACCCCCAATCATACACCCCAACATAGGGGCTTTAATAAGTACCTATACTATACTATTTTTCTTGGGGGGGGGTCCTTATTATAATTATAGTCGAATGTACCCCAAAACCCTATTCCAATTATTAAGGCCCCTACATATACCGGCCTAAATAATTAGAACAGGGCTTTGGGGCCCTATAATAATTATAGTAAGGGAACCCCCAAATCCGTATTCTAACCATTAAGGCCCTTGCACCCTGAACCCTGAAAATAGCCTTTATAGAACCCTTTAAGGAACCCTTTAAAGGAGTTCCAAAGACTTATTCAAAACAAATAATGGTCCCTAAACCCTAAACCCTCAAC